AAAAAAAAAAAAAAAAAAAAAAAAAAAACACAGAATTAGATTACCTGGAAATAATGAATCCTCTGCCCTTACAGAACTGGACTCAAAGGGGATACTAGGGTACTCTAAGACTACTTCTCAGAAGTGTGACAACCTCCTGTACTCTTGTTCTTCTTACTATAGGGCCCAAGGACTGAAACTTCTCACCTTTTCTCCTAAACTCTGCCACCCACTAATGGCCTCAGGACTGGGATTCCACTAACCTACTCCCCAAGGGCTGATTGCACCCTTTTCTTCTCACCACTCATGAAATAATTTCATGCTATGAATTTCCCAACCATTCTAGAGATACAGCTGAACACAGACATGACCATAAACATGAGGAAGTAATGAACTATTGAGAAATCCTTCTAGAGGTGGATGCAATGCCACACCACTGAGCACGAGATGGGCTAGATGACACAGCCCTATGGGCAAACTAGAATCAATGGGAAATGGAAGAAGTTAGGAAGGTAAGTTACCTCTCTTTCCTCCCTTCAATGGACTGCTCAGAGGGGCAGTTTCTCCTTATAAACCTTCTGGAGAAGCCCCACACTCTAAGTGAACACACTTGCTGGGAGGCTCCTGTATCTCGTCACAGTTTGTCATGAAGCCAAGCTGCTCTAGTAACACAATGCACCACATTTTTCCTTGCCTTGTTTTCCCTTTTCTTCCACACTCTCACCCCCCTAGATCCGCCCCTCCCTAATAAAGTAACAACACTTTCATCTTTGCCTCAGGTTCTACTTTCTAGGGGACCTAGGTTAAGAAATTCTGTTTGTTGTAATTTCTAAGATAACCACTGAAAGAATAAAAACAATGTATATAATTTTCAAACTAGTGAGGAAAAACACAGAATGTTAGAAAGTAAGTAATCCAAAAGAAGGCAAGAAAGAAAAGATAGTTCAAATGTGCAGTTAAAAAAATTATTTAAAAAAATGGAATGATGGAATTGTTGGAACCAACAACACAAAAATAATAGATTTAAACCCAAATATGTCAGTGGCAATCTTTTTATACATATAATAAATATATTTATTAAATATAAAATGTACACAGTAAATATAAATGAACTAAATGCTTTAGTTCAAAGACAAAAATTAACAGAATAAAAATTATGAAATAAAAATGTATACACTTGAAAGTATCTAAAATAAACCTAATTTTCATAATGAATTTTAAGCATTAAGGAGTTTTGTAACTGAACAGTGGAACTCAGAAAGACATACTATTCAGAAAGATCTCTCATGTTAATAGTTTCCTTCACTATTGTAATATACTGTAGAGTTTTAAGAAAAAAATTAAAAGCCAGAGCTGTCTTATATTACCATTTCTATTTCTGCAATCTTCAACAGACCAAAATTTTCTCTATAATTGTGAAAAAAGAGCTCCTTAAGTATAACTAAAATTTCGCCTTAACCTTACCAAATATGCAAGTAAAACTCAAAATTGTAGAAAGAGATAAAGCTTTGAAAACAGACACTGGATATCCCTTTTTATCAGGTCGAGAGGTGAGTCTCTAATAGAGTCCTAGTAAATTTTCAGTAGGTAACTACTGAAGGCCTTCCTTCTAAACCAGATAAGGGAAGACAGAATACTCTGAGAGTATTAAAGGAATCTCCTGCAAGCCACTGATACCTCTGTTGACAGAGGAGATGGGAGAAAATAGCAGTTACCAGGTTACCTATAGCTGAAATTTGTTCCACATAAAGAACCACCGGGTCTAGGTTCTTGGGAGTATGACTTTTGAGAAAAACTCCTGTTACTTTGGTCACTATATATATACATATAATATGTGTGTGTGTGTGTGTGCTTATTAAAAACGCATATTCCTGGGCTCCTTAAATAGACTCTTCAGGGTGGGATTACATTGTCTTTACTGGTAATTTTTTTTTTTTCTTTTACTGGAGGGGGTGCACCGTTCCTGGAAGTATTGCAATACCAGGTCGATGCGTGGAGTGGACGGAGCAAGCTCCTATTCCATCTCCCTGCTCCAAAAATCCATTTAATATATTGTCCTCAGATAGAGGACGTATCAGACTAAACTGATAAGAACAGATACTACACTTTATCTTAGCCAAAAAGCCGAGAAGCGATACTGGAAATGTTTTTTACTAAAAATTCTTAGTTATAAAATCACAAATTTCATAGTGAAACTCAATCTAGAGTACCTAAAGTTTATATATATATAAAATAGACGTACCTTTGCTATGAAAGCCTGATTTACTCTTAATTGGATATAACCAGAAAAGAGTTCTGTCTATAATGATACATCTGCATTGAACCTAAAACAAACTTCATCATACATTCTCACCTAAGTTTCTCTAATGACCCAGAGTAAAGCAAAAGGTTTAGCATATGAAAGTGAGGGAGTTTGAATCTCACCTTCTGTCAAACTTTTAGAGCTCTGTTAACCATGGTAACTAATGACCATGGTTGGTATCAACTATGCTTTTAGGCAACTTTGTTCATAGTAAAAATCAATCGTTAACTGTTCCTGTATCTGGATTGGGATGCACTATAAATAATCTAAGGGAGATTTCAAGCTTTAGGCTTTCCTGAATGTGGTGACTCTTGAAAATGACATATCCCTTGTGGATACCCTGGAAGCTGTTTTATGGAATTGTTAAGATATACTGGTTCCCTGATGCCTGTGGAGGATCTGATCTCCTTGCACCTAAATTGTACTAGTGGACTGCTACAAGGACTTCCACTGCTAATGTGGACTGATTGATGCTGTGCTGGCAGGCTGTTATTTCTGTTTAATATCCTTTTGAGTAAGTAGGTACCAAGTATGGCCATGGTAGTCTTATGAGTTTGAATGTTTACTCTAAAGTGACTTCTGTTGGTCATTGCCACAAATAATTTCAGATGTACTAACTTGATAAATATATTCCAAATGTTTGGTTAAACCTAAAAAGACCCCTCTGGTGGATGTAGCAGTATATCATTTCATAGGTATTAATTTCATAACTTTTTTTTTTTTTGAGATGGAGTCTTGCTCCGTCACCCAGGCTAGAGTGCAGTGGCACGATCTCAGCTCACTGCAACCTCCGCCTACCGGATTCAAGTGATTCTCCTGCCTCAGCCTCCCAAGTAGCTAAGACTACACGTGTGAAGCACCATGCCTGGCTAATTTTTTTGTATTTCTGGTAGAGACAGGATTCACCATGTTGGCCAGGCTGGTCTCAAACTCCTGACCTCAGGTGATCTGCCCACCTCAGCCTCCCAAAGTGTTGGGATTATAGGTGTGAGCCACAGCACCCAGCCTAATTTCATAACTATTGATAAATTATTTTCATCTTACACTAAATTTACATTTAGACTTACTGAATTTACATTTAATTTTCTTCTTACACTAATGAATTAACATAAATCATAAAGATTCTGTATTTAATTATAAAAACAAATAAAACTGTCACATCAATTTAATTATAAGTAATTTACACATAATAATGCATAATGACTTTGAAAACAGTATAACTCAAAATAATAGAAAACAAAGTTAACCGAGTGAAGTACTACTGAATTCCAGGCACTTTCTGTGACAGAACACAAATTTAAAATTTAATAAAATATTACCTTTTCTTAGCAAAAAGTTTCTTAAGTCAGATTCTCCTTTCATGTTTTAAATGAAGCTTCTTCTAAAGAAGTCATTTTATTCACAGTTGCAAATTTCTTTTTAACACAATGTATACATGCTGGAATCAAACACCTGAAGGAGCTGGAATCTTATGAATACAGCCAGGGCAACAGTGTAGAGAATCATGAACAAAAACATCACAGTCCACACAGAAGACATTTTGGCACACAGCACAAACATAAACCTGTAGTGAAAACAGAAAAGTGAATAAACAAAAGTGGTTTCCAAAAATTAATTACAGCACATCTAGATGACATTCAAGGTGTGCTTGAATATCTCTTTTATATCTCTACCAATTTTTCCCACTACCTACTTTATTACTTCCAATGTACTCTATATTCTCAAATCTAAGGCAATTAATTTTTTCCCCAAAACTATCCCTTAGAAATGAGGGAATGACTTTGTTTTTGAGTCTTTGAAGTCTATTTTATTATAGTCCACTCTCAATTACTTCACTGTAAGAAACTATTTGGGAAAGACATATAAGCTTCAAACCAGTGCTACTTTTGAAAGCTTAGCAAGACCACCTGATTGATTCAATTAAAAAGAGAAGCCTGAAAATTTAACATAGATTTAATTATTCTTAGGGAATGACCTCACATTTGCAAAAGTTATATTTCCCTTTCAAGTAAACCTTTAAAAAATGTGTCAAATGACACAGGTAAGACAAATAATAAAATGAATGAATAAATAAATCTCAAACAACACAGACGATGACCTATTCCTAAAAATTCAAATGAGGCTCACACCTGTAATCCCAGCACTTTGGGAAGCCAAGACAGGCAGATTGCTTGAGCCTAGGAGTTCAAGACCAGCTGGCCAACATGACGAAACCCAGTCTCTACTAAAAACACAAAAATTAGCCAGGCATGGTGGCACACACCTGTAATCCCAGCTACTTGGGAGGCTGAGGCACGAGAATTGTTTGAACCTGGGAGACAGAGTTTGCAATGAGCCAAGATCGCACCACTTCACTCCAGCCTGGGTGACACAGCAAGAGTCTGTCTCAAAAAATAAAACCAAAAACCTCAAATGATTCAAAAAGTGGTTCCAGTAAAGATGAAGCTGCTGATGTCAAATAGGTATTTAAAATTTAATAAAATTGTTTTATAAAATCTGACAGTGGAATAGCAATACTTCTAATTTTTATATAATATGGTTTTAAATATGAACATATTAACTAAAAAATTAACAGCTGGACAGTGATTCATATTATTTACATCTATACAAGTTTATATATTAAAGTTGCTCCTCTTCAAAATTAAAAAAAAATTTTCTCATTGGCCTAATGGAAGAACCACCTATGATCTGTGGCCACCTTAAACAACATCAGTGTGTTATCACACAGCTTAAAGTACAATATGGCCAGGCGCGGTGACTCACGCCTATAATCCCAGAACTTTGGGAGGCCAAGGCGGGTGTATCATGAGGTCAGGAGTTTAAGATCAGCCTGGCCAAGATGATGAAACCCCGTCTTTACTAAAAAAACTACAAAAATTAGCCAGGCACGGCGGCAGGCACCTGTAATCCTAGCTACTCAGGAGGCTGAGGCAGGAGAATCGCTTCAACCCAGGGGGCAGAGATTGCAATGAGCCAAAATCATGCCACTGCACTTCAGCCTGGGTGACAGAGTGAGACTACATCTCAAAAAAAAACTATATGAAGAAAATATTTTAAATACTTCCAGACTAAATGCAGTTTAGCTTGAAAGCTAAAGGTAAATTACATGTTTTACAAGGGTGTACCAAAGTAGGCAAAACAATCAAAGCATTAAAAAAATGAAGAAAAAAAATTTTTAATAAAAAAAGTTTGAAAACGTAAGTTCCAAAATATATTTATAACAAAAATTAGGATGCAGAATAACAAAACTACTATTTAAACTATTTTGTTCCCATTTTACCTCCACCTATTATAATTATTTTTATAAGAAATAAACTGATATGAGCCTGGTCTTTAACAACCTGTTGAAAACTTATAGCACAATTTTTTCCAATATTTCTTGTACATTACTTAGTATTTAGAAAGCCAATGAACTTACATGTTGGTCTTTCAATTCCCCCTGACATCCATAACAAAATCTGAAAAAAAAAAGTTTAAGAATTTTTCTTAGAATTCACTCATTAAAATAGTTCAGCAAAATCTCATAACTAGAATAATTTCATTAATAAGTAACTATTTTCAAACAAGACTCTCAAGAAAAAGAGTTAAGAATACCCCTGAGCCAGGCATGGTGGCTCATACGTGTAATTCCAGCACTTTGGGAAGCCAAGGCAGGTAGATCACCTGAGGTCAGAGTTCAAGACCAGCCTGGCCAATATGGCAAAACCCCGTCCCTACTAAAAATACAAAAATTAGCTGAGCATGGCGGCAGGCACCTGTAATCCCAGCTACTCAGGAGGCTGAAGCAGGAGAATCGCTTGAACCCAGGAGGCTGAGGTTGCAGTGAGCCGAGATCATATCACTGCACTCCATCCTGGGCAGCAGGAGCGAAACTCCATCTCTAAAAAGAAAAAAAAATAATAATAATTTTTTAAAGTCCACAGTATATACGAAGTCACCTGACAGCCCAAAATTTAGTTTTATTTTCATTAAGGTTAAATGTGAGCGTGCTTTATTTTTCTTTTTTCTTTATTTTATCAAGACAGGATCTTGCTTTGTCTCAAAGGCTCAAGTGCAAAGGTGCTATCACGGCTCACTGCAGCCTCAAACTCCTGGGCTCAATTATCTTCCTGCCTCAGCCTTCTGAGTAGCTGGGACTATAGACATGTACCCCCATCCCTGGCTAATTTTTTATTGAGACAGGGCCTCGCTGTATTGTCCAGGCTAGTCTTGAATGCCTGGGTTCAAGCAATCCTCCCACCTTGGCTTCCCAAAGTGGTAGGATTACAGGCATGAACCACCATGCCAAGCCAGAAGCACTTTCAAAACTTTTATTTGATAGTCACTTATTTTAATAAGTGCTACTTCGTGGTTCTTCACAGTTATAAGCTATGAACCTCCAACTATGAAAGAAGGGAATTTAATTCCCTTTCAACCATCTTGAACCAGTAATGCATAAATATGTAACTAATGTTATTCTCAATTATTTCTAGTTAAGTCCTCCTTTTGGATAGAACAATAATCAATGTTTAGTTTACTATGACTATAAAAATATTCTCAGCTAAGCCATAAATTTTCCCCTATTTAAAACATTTTTTTCCTGGAAATACTGTGTTGCTATTCCCAAGGTCAGTTTCCTATGCAATTGACATGAATTCATTCCCAATCTTCTGACTAGTCTAACAGTCCTCTCAGTATGTTCAAATACATCAGGAGTTCTGCAGTTTTCATCCTCTTGGTGATCTCTCTCCTGGAGCACTCTGACTATCTCCAAAGTGGACTGTTCCCCATATCTGACACATAGGTATCATTCTGGGATTTCTCCTTACCATCATCCTAGGGCGTTCTTTGGCTTGTTTTGAATTAGATACCTATTACTAGATCCCATGTCACTCTCTTTCTCAGTTCCTTTGAATAGCCTACCTCTTCCATACCTTCCCCAGAAAAATCTTTTTGAAATCTTACAAGTCCGAAAATGTCTTTATGCTACCTACACTTAATTTATAGGTTGGCTAGGTATATAAGTTGGTAACAATTTTTACTACAAACTTTGAAGGTGACTGCTCTGTCTCTGCATCCAGTGTTGCTAATGAGAAGCCAAACAATTTTAATTCCAGATCCTTTGTGGGTGACCTAATTTTTCCTCTCTGAAAATGTTTAGGGTTAATAATTTATTGTGTATTCTGAAATGTCACAATTATGGGGCCTGTCTTCCTTCAATACATTAGGCACTTGGCAGTCCCTTTCTTTTATCTTTGTTGTGGAGATGAGGTCTTGGCGTGTTACCCAGGTTGCGCTGGAACTCCTGGCCTCAAGTGATCCCCCGGTCTCAGCCTCCCAAAGTGCAAGGATTACAGCTATGAGCCACCCTACTCAGCCAATAGGCCCTTTCAATCTAGAAAGTTCTGTCCTTCAATAGAAACTTTCTTTGAACTATTTCTTTGATGATTTTCTATCCTACATTTTATTTTTCTTTCTTTGTCATATTATTCCCATATTGGACCTTCTGGATAAATTCACCAGTATTCTTATCTTTACTCTCCTATTTGAACCTCTTTATTTTACTCTTCTTGTATTTTCTGGAATATTTCTTCAACTCTATCTTCCAATCCTTCTATAGTACTGGGTTTTTCATTTCTACTATACTTAACCTCAACCATAGCAAATAAATACCAAGCTTAAAACAATGAGAATTGGGATTTTTTTGCCTGTGAGTTTTGACCAACATAAAAAAATTTCATAAAACCTAATGTTGGCTAAATATGGGAAAACAATAAATAAAACTTTGAAGGACAACTTTACAATATCTATCAAACTGCACAAAACATGTAAAACTCTTGACTCAGTAATTTTACCTCTAGGAATTTACCGTGCATTTATACTCGTACAAATGTTCAAAAATACAGATATAAGCATTATTTGTTAATAGCAAAAAAAAAAAAAAAATCTTAAATATCCAACTGGGGCTGGGCACAGTGGCTCACATCTGTATTCCTAGCACTTTGGGAGGCCGAGGTGGGCGAAATCATGAGGTCAGGAGTTCGAGACCAGCCTGGCCAATATGGTGAAACCCCATCTCTACTAAAAATACAAAAAATTAGCTGGACATAGTGGCGGGCGCCTGTAATCCCAGCTACTGGGGAGGCTGAGGCAAGAGAATCACTTGAGCCTGGGAGGCAGAGGTTGCAGTGAGCTGAGATCATGCCACTGTACTCCAGCCCTGGCAACAGAGCGAGACTCCATTTCAAAAAAAAAAAAAAAAAAAAAAAAAAAAAAAAAAAAAAAAAAAAAAAAAAAAAAAAAAAAAAATCCAACAGGAAGCAATTGGTTATATAAACCATAATTATTCATGAAATATGTAACATTTTTAAAAACATCATTGATCTAGATATGGTGATATTAAATTACTTCCAAATGATTTAAGTGTGAAAAGCAAGATGAATACATAATTGTCTGCCAGCCAATAAGTGTTTAATGTGATTCCTAAATCCTGGATGTTCTTAAAAGCAGTAAATCTTTATTTTCTGAAAACTGTTCTATAAAAGATTGACCCACCTCTATTTCAGACTTTATTTGTTGTATTTCACACAAACAGCACTCATAAAATACTTAAAGATTTTAGATAGATTATGTTATGCCAGATTATTTTGTTTTTGTTGTTGTTTCTCTTCTTTGGTTTTTTCTTTTTTTTTTTTTTAAATTATTTTATTTTTTAAGAGACGGTGTCTCACTATGTTGCCCAGGCTAGTCCTCAACTCCTGGCCTCAAGTGATCCTCCCACTTCAGCATCCCAAAGTGCTAAATGACCCTTTTATTTTCAGTAGTATGCTAGGACTGGATTGTACTGGCTCAAGAGAATCAATTGTTAAATACATATTCATGGATTTTGACAGCTGGTTGTTAACTGGTAGCTAAAAACTGGCCATGATAAGAGTATTAAAACCATGGAAATCAGCATATACTACCAATCAGGGTTTTTTTTTTTTTTTTTTCCTTTTCCTTACGGAGAACTGATTTAATAGTATAATTATCACCTTTATTTATACATAGGTGGGTTTAGGGAAATTATCTGGATTCTGGAGATTCAGATCTATTTTAACAATGAGTCATTTCAATCATAATCATGGCATTCTTCCTCTCATCTTCCATATTATAAGTACTCTTGTCCAAGTTAGTAGGATTACATTTTAAGGTAGTAACAATCTATTCAAACATTAGCTTACCACTTATAACAAATATAAATTAATCCAAACCTTTCTCCATTATATTCTTCTAGGGGAATTTCTTGAAAAGGATCCAAAGGAAACAAATGATGGTAAGACCGTGCCAAGTGGGGGGCAGACACCAAAGTAAGACCTGACACATTAAGCAGAGAGACATGTTTAGTAGTCCAAACCCATGAAGACAATGGCTGAAAAGCCAAAAGATGCAACTCAGGCAGAATATTTTCAGTTTCTTTTAGGATGGCAGTTATTAATTTTACCTGTGGCTATAAAAGAAGATTGTAGGATGGAGTCTTAGTTCTGTTACTAAGTGTGTAACCAACCTATCTTAGTCTATTTGCTTACTTATATTATAAATGAAATAAAATTAGACAATTCTATCAATTTAATTCTTCATTCTTATATTTATAAAGGTAAGAGATAGAAAAATGTCTACTAGATCTACTGCATTGCCTTTAAAGAATATACTTTTTTCAGAAAAAGGATCAGGAAACTAGAATGCTACTTTTATACTTAAAACAATTTAAAAATTAACCTATTTCTCTTTGCACAGATTAAATCTAGAAACATATGAATAACTTAACATTTACATGCATTTTAGCAGCAATACAGATAAGAAGTCATTCAAGATTTACTGAATAATGAATAGTTGGTTTCTTACCACAGATTTTACATTCAACAGGTAGCTCACAGTACTTTGCCCGACACTGTGGGCAGAAATAGCCTCCTAACGTAAGCCCTGGCTCAGTATTGCCATCCAAATGCCTGTAGTGGGAAAAAGGTAATATATAAACATCTGAAAAAGAGCAGGAAAGCACACTACCTTGATCTTAAAATCGTGACACTATTTAAATATCTATTTAGGCTGGGCGTGGTGGATCACGCCTGTAATCCAAGCACTTTGGAGGCCAACACGGGCGGATCACCTGAGGTCAGGAGTTCAAGACCAGCCTGACCAAAACCCCGTCTTAAAAAAATAAAATAAAATAAAATCTATTTAAAAGTCTATATTTTTGGCCAGGTACAGGGGCTCACACCTGTAATCCCAACACTTTGGGAGGCCAAGGCGGGCAGATCACCTGAGGTCAGGAGTATGAGACCAGCCTGGCCAACATAGTAAAACTCCGTCTCTACTAAAAATACAAAAGCAAAAAAAAATGAGCCGGGCACAGTGGTGCACATCTGTAATCCCAGCTACTTGGAAGGCTCAGGCAGGAGAATTGCTTGAACGTGGGAGGTGGAGGCTGCAGTGAGCTGGGATCATGCCACTGCACTCCAGCCCGGGCAACAGTTTGAGGCTCCATCTCAAAAAAAAGAAAAATACAAAAATTAGCCGGGGGCCTGTAATCCCAGCTACTTGGGAGGCTGAAGCAGGAGAACTGCTTGAACCCAGAAGGTAGAGGTTGCAGTGAGTTGAGATTGCACCACTGCACTCCAGCCTGGGTGACGAGAACAAAAATTCTATCTTAAAAAAAAAAAAAAAAAAAAAAAAGTCTATATTTTAAAAAATTGTATAAGTTTTTGTAGAAATGGGGAATCACTATGTTGACCAGGCTGGTCTTGAACTCCTAGCCTCAAGTGATCCACCTGCCTCAGCTTCTCAAAGTGCTGGGATTATAGATGTCAGCCACCGTATCTGGCCTAAAAGTTTATTTTAAAATCTGTGAGTATGTCTTATAGCTCAATTATGCTATATTCATTTTCTTCCCCTCTCCTCATTATTATTATTTTTGAGACAGAGTCTCACTCTTGCCCAAGCTGGAGTGCAGTGGCACAATCTCGACTCACTGCAACGTCTGCCTCCTGGGTTCAAGCAATTTTCATACCTCAGCTTCCTGAGTAGCTGGGATTACAGGCATGTGCCACCACGCACAGCTAATTTTTGTATTTTTAGTAGAGATGAGGTTTCACCATGTTGGTCAGGCTGGTCTCAAATTCCTGGTCTCAAGTGATCTGCCTGCCTCAGCCTCCCAAAGTGCTGGGATTACATATGTGAGCCACTGCACCCAGCCCTTCTCTTTAAGTTTCTATTACTAACCTTGAATTCACTAATTTTTTTCTTCCGTAGTGTCTAATCTGCTGTTAATCTCATCCAATGTATTCTTCATCAAAAACACTGTACTCTTCATCACTAGAAGTTTGATTTGGGTCTGTTTTATACCTTCCGTATCTCTTCTTACCATTATCATGTTCCCTAATTTTCTGAACAAACAGAGTACATTTATAATTGTTGTCTTACCACATCTTTGTCTACTAATTCTTTTTTTCTTTCTTTTTTTTTTTTTT